ATGTTCTATCTATAGAAAAAACCACATAAGTTTCACAGATTTTTTTAGACAAAGTTCTACCAATAGTTTTCACTGTTAAACCAGGAGGTCATGCTGTAGAAGGAGTTGTTACCAGTAGGTAAAGACAGATTTTCACAGAAAACTCAATTAAAGATCAGATTTTGCCATATCTTTTAGGCTTTCTCAACCAATTGAAGAATGAGATAATTTTGGGATAAATATATATCAAAAGTTTGAAGATTCTCACTCCAATCATAATAAATAAAAGGCTCTATGAGGAATATATGAAGCTTCTTTTGCCTTCTTTTAGTTTTTCTCTGTTTTCCTACGTTTGGAGAGTGGTAGGGTTTTGTTCTATAGAGCTTTGTTGCTATCCTTTCTTTTAAGTTATGTTCTTTCAATTGTTCTAAGCAATCATACATTCGTTTGTCTTTAATTTCAATATTTGTTATTTTAGTTTAGTTTCCAATACAAGCAATTATTTTCAAGTCAATCTTTACTTTTCTAAATTTAATTATATCTTCGTCAACATCATTTTTTATTTATATTATCATGAGTGAGTAGTATTTTTCTGGATAATCTGAGGAACGACTCTCAACCTATGAACTAGGGTTTATGCTCTAAATTAGGGTTTATGTTTTGAACAAGGTAGCTCCTATGGGTTTATGTGATTGTTTGAATAAGATATGCTTTCAAAAACCTAATTGGTTTGCAGTATAGATAATTAGGGATGTTTTCTACAACATTTAGGCTACTGATTTTTTCATAATAGACTGTCTTTCAATTTCTATTATTGATTTTTTTCAAAGTTTTTAGTTGAAAATCATCCGTCTATACTAGTTTGAATATGAGAGCAGATGAGTTATAGATTTGGAGCAAAAATTCTTATTCATAGGCGGAATGAATTCTGAACATTATCTAGTTTTTCTAATTATTGAATTTCATTTTCATTAGTAGTTAATTTCCAAACTCTCAAATTTCAAAGATTTTTTTTTAAAATTTTCCATCACCTTGGACTTCTACCCAAGTTACTACATGATACTATTCTTTTACGCTTGGGAACACTCATGAAACTACAACCTTTAAAGAGCAGACATTTTTGGCACTGCTACTGGGGAACAGTTAACGGTAATCTATGGCGATACAGAGGTATTCAAGCAAGTCTTGTGATTTTCATCACAAGCCCAAGTGCTATGTTGTAATTTATTTCTTGCTTGTTTGCAATTTTAAATTTTTAGGTTTAGTAGATTTGCATGTGAGGTAGAGATCAAGTAAACCGACTTGTTAGACTTAGACATGACTTACCACCACTTTTAGGTATGGTTGCTCAGAATAACCACTATGACATTATTTCACCCAATATTTTGTCAGCAGGGGATAATGGTGGAAATAATCCGATTATAGTTCCACTTGGTCGGACTACGAAGGATTATCTTCAACCTAACCGTTCTTCCACATTGTCGTGCATTGTATTCCCTATGCAAGCACACCAACTTATTGTTAAACCAGGAATGCTTCAATTGTTCCCTCAATTCCATGGTATGGGAAGTGAAAACTACTATCTCCATCTCATGGAATTTGAGGAAGTAGTTAGTATATTCTTGGAATAGAACGTGTGTGAGAAATAGAGATATGCAGATACGGACCAGTCATCAGACTAGTGATGAGAAGAGATGAGGTCAATCATCGAGCTAGTGATAACAAGCGACAAGGTCAGTTACCAGGCTAATGGTAACAAACATGAGATTTAGTCTAGCTATCTAGCTAAAGATAACAAATGTATTTGAAACTAAGTGTGTGTGAGTGTTTGTGCTATAAATGTTTTTTCATTTATAAAGTTATTTATGAAAATGAGTGGGTATTTGAGTTGTAAATGTCTTTACATTTATAAAAATATTTTTAAAAATGAGATCATTCTTTTTAAATGATTATGTGTGAGTAACTAGGGTAAAATTTGTTATACTTATGTATATATCAAAGTTTATTTCTTGTATATAAACTGTTGGACTTATTTTCACACATTAGAAGTGATTGCTATTTACAGGTCGTTGTGCTCATAAAAATATTTAACATTTTTTTAGGTTAAGGTCAGGGTACGGAGTAAGTCTTGCAATAAACAAGAAATTAGAGGGCTTGAGGAATTGTCTTAAGTAGGTCCTCAGAAATAAGTCTCATTTATGGATTTGAGACACTATATTTAATTATTTTGAGAGTGATGTTATTTAAATTTTGAGCTTGTATACCTTAAGGTTTGGTAATGGAATTACTTGTAGTTTATTAATAGCGTTGGAATATATTTAGTTTATTCCTATGGTATTCATAAGGTATATGAGCAGGATCACTTTGTTAGTTGCATGCTGCTACATTTTGCATTTAATATGCACAAGGGTTTGTTGGTTAAGGCCTTGGTGGCCAGTCCATAACCCACCTTCTGTAGTATGGGGTGGGGGTGTGACACTAAGAATGCAAGTAGTGGAGGAAGAGAGTTGAACTAGAAGATTGCTGAAAAGAAGTAGAAAGATAATCTGTAGACATAATATATAGTGCAACTGGACATACTTGCTCCGTCTGGATGCACCTTAGCCGCTTGGTTAAATCAAATTTCTCTTTTCCATATTCTTAGATATGTTTACCTATTCTGCTCCACATGGATTTAACTCGGAGTTAGCAAAAATTTATTACTTTTTAATCATCTGCACTTGGGTGATGGTATCAAGCAACCATCCACGTTGATTTGGAGCAAAAACTTTAGTTGATTATTTGATGTGTAGTAAATATTTATCTCTAACAAATGTGCCCATGACTACCCTGAATAAGGGATACATACAACAACTATTTGGCTTAACGATGGCTATATTTTAGGGTTAGGGTTTGTTTAGCTATGAAGAAGAGGGATAAAAGGCAGGTCAGGGAATTGGAAATATTGTTCACATTGAATCATATTAAAAAGGCAAAGGCTCTGGCTTAAATGCAAATTAAGAGGGGTGGGGGTGGCTATAAAGTTTAGTTATAAAGAAGAGGAAAAAAAGGCAGGTAAGGGAATTGGAAAGATTGTTCACAATGAATCATATTAGCAAATTAAACCATTGATTTTAAATTACTTACATAAATTGTTATTTTTGTTGAAGATTCTTTTTTCTTTTTTCTGTTTTCTTTTTCATTTATTGAAAAAGCACTGCACTTCGTTATGGTGAAAATTCGACAACTTGTGTGAAAAATAGGAAGTAACTCTAATGGAGATCAACATATAGAGCCTCTAACATCTTAGCTGGACCAATATTATTTAAAATAATCCAAAGCCTAACCCATAGCAGGTGCCACTTCACCTATTTTAGCTACAAACAGGGACCATTCTCAAGTGTTCGAGTTTACGTTTGGGTAATGTTAAACTCACCAAATAAAAAGATAAAAAAAGAGAGATCAAATGATGCAGTACTGATGTGGTAGTTTTCCATTCATTTAAATTTAATTTTGTTTACTATGTCAACGCTATATCTTTTGATTTTTATTTTCAGTCTAATTTTTTTATTGGTCTAACATTACCCTTTTGGATCTGGGGTGGGGGATACAAAATGTATAAGGGGTGAGCAAATGTAGAGACCCAGGGGCATGGCCTCCTCACTTCTCCAAATTAGGAGTGTTAATCAAGCCAAGTTTTGTTAGTTTAAGTTTAAACCTGTTGAACTCATTTTTTTAAACAAATCTAAAAAATTATTTACGTTCAACTTGTTTAAAAAATAAGCAAGTCTGAACCCAAATAGTTCGACTATTTTACATAAAAAAGAGTCAAGCTAAGTGAGTTCGAGCCGAGACTTATAGACTTATTTTTCTAAACGAACCTAAAAAATTGTTCAACCTAAACTCGATTAGAATACGAGTTGAGTTTGAGCTGAGTCCTTTCCTAGCCGAGTCCTATCCTGGCCAAGCGTCTCGATTAACACCCCAACCCCAAATTACCTTTTGACCACTTAAGTTTAGCAAAAAAAATATGGCATGGCCCCATCAATTCTTTGTCATATCTATTATGCCCATTTAAATTGCCATCTACTCAAACCGCCAAGGTCGAAATATATATAGTTATAACTTGTGCAAAATATGAATTAAGAGGGCATAAAGAAAAAAGAAGATACCTTTGCTGTTGAAGAGATCTGCAAGTAAAGGGAAAAACAACCAACGACTGCCACCAATTGTTTTAATTTTGCATAATATTTTAGAAATTCTCTAGAATCGGCCAGCTTTTAAGTATATATGTTCAAAATTCTTTTTCAAAACAATCATCTTATAAATCAACTTCAAGCAACTAATAGATCAATATGCAATTTGCAAAAACATTCACGAGGGTATCGTAATTATCGAGAATGAGGGTCCTTCTATACAAAAAAGCTCGAAATGAAATTTTCAGATTTTTTTTTTTTTTCGTTCATGGTAACGGGTGTCCAAGTCAATTTATTTTCACCTCAACTAATCTCCTATCTAGTCCGATCAAAAGTAGACTATTTATACCAAGACTAAGATATTCATGAGAGATTTCATAATTTGGCCCCAAAAGATCGTCGAAATTCAAATTTGGGATATCTGAGTTACAACTCGTCTCCGTTACTACTTAATCTACCATTGAAGAGAAATTTTTTAGATGTTTGTGGCCGGAGGTAAGTCCCCCTCCTTCCTTTTATTTGAAGTAAGACTAAACTTTAACTGCGCATTTGAAGTAGGTAGGGACCATATTAGTACCATTAGCTAGGGGTTTCTAACTGACCTACTTTCCTAGATCATTTTATTTTCTTCTTATTTTTTTCTGGTTTTTTTTTTTGGAATAAATAAATATATTTTCTCTGATGCAGAGATACAAAATAAATTAATTGATCTCAATGGCACTGAATATTGCACAGATTAGTTTACGGTCGAACAAAAGTAGAGGCATAAACTCCATGTTCTAAGTTTAAATCTTATTTTTCATATAACGCACAAGTTTAATTGGTCAATGTGATTTGTGGATAATTCTATACANCCTCACCCTCCCCATCCCCATCACCATTACCTTCTGGTGCATTGCAACCTCCACCATCACCATCTCCAACACCGTTGCCTCCTAGCCTAGCGAAATCTCCACCCTTATCGTCACCATCACCATCTCCTACTAGCGTATCCCAATCTCCACCATCACCATCTCCAACACCGTTGCCTCCTAGACTACCTATATCTCCACCCTTGCCAACACCATCCCCATCACCACTACCTACTGACCCACCAAAATCTCCACCCCTGTCATCACCAGTTCCATNACCAAAGGATAAGGCTATGATACCACTGCGGTGACCATTGATTATATAATACAATATGAGAACTTACACTTGACATGTTTTTACTGGGACAAAAAGATTAGTAACGGGCCTAATTTTTGATTAGCTGTTTAATTTTTGATATAATGCAATAACCAAAGATTAGCTGTTTAATTTTTGATATGGTGCTGGTTTTGTTTTTTCTTTTGAGATACCTAAACTCATCCTAGTAATTGAAATGGGTAGAAACTTTGTAAATTTCATTAAATAAGTGTCTCTCTGTGGCCACTATAAATAAGGGTTTGCCTCTCCTCTAGTTCTCCATCAAGCAGCCCTCATACCTTACTTCCCAGTGTTTCCACATATGGAAAAGCCTGTTTGGTCGAAGCCGCTTTGGCCACCAATGGCACTATACACCTTAGTCATCTGCTTGATGGCCATGAATGTGGCAGCTACACTGCCTATCCTGCTGCCGCCTACTGAGTATGGGCCGATTCATTTTCCACCTTTTCCTTTCCATCAGATGTCACCGCCTCCACCTTATAGCTTCAAATCACCACCACCACCACCACCACCACCACCTTCTACTTTGAAATTTCCACCACCGCCACCTTCTATTTTGAAATCTCCACCACCGCCACCTTCTATTTTGAAATCTCCACCACCACCACCTTCTATTTTGAAATCTCCACCACCGCCACCTTCTATTTTGAAATCTCCACCACCACCACCTTCTATTTTGAAATCTCCACCACCGCCACCTTCTATTTTGAAATCTCCACCACCACCACCTTCTATTTTGAAATCTCCACCACCGCCACCTTCTATTTTGAAATCTCCACCACCACCACCTTCTATTTTGAAATCTCCACCACCGCCACCTTCTATTTTGAAATCTCCACCACCACCACCTTCTATTTTGAAATCTCCACCACCGCCACCTTCTATTTTGAAATCTCCACCACCACCACCTTCTATTTTGAAATCTCCACCACCGCCACCTTCTATTTTGAAATCTCCACCACCACCACCTTCTATTTTGAAATCTCCACCACCGCCACCTTCTATTTTGAAATCTCCACCACCACCACCTTCTATTTTGAAATCTCCACCACCGCCACCTTCTATTTTGAAATCTCCACCACCACCACCTTCTATTTTGAAATCTCCACCACCGCCACCTTCTATTTTGAAATCTCCACCACCACCACCTTCTATTTTGAAATCTCCACCACCGCCACCTTCTATTTTGAAATCTCCACCACCACCACCTTCTATTTTGAAATCTCCACCACCGCCACCTTCTATTTTGAAATCTCCACCACCACCACCTTCTATTTTGAAATCTCCACCACCGCCACCTTCTATTTTGAAATCTCCACCACCACCACCTTCTATTTTGAAATCTCCACCACCGCCACCTTCTATTTTGAAATCTCCACCACCACCAGCACCTTCTATTTTGACACCACCACCTCCTATTTTGAAATCACCACCCCCACCACCATCACCTTGCATTGTGACACCACCACCACCTCCTATTTTGAAATCCCCACCCCCACCGCTTTTCCCGTCGCCATCTCCATCACCAACATTACCTCCTACCATATCCAAATCTCCACCATCACCATCACCATCTTCATCGCCTTTTCCTCCTATCCCACCGAAATCTCCACCCTTTCCATCACCTTTACCTCCTAAACTACCCATATCTCCATCCTCGCCATCACCATCTCCATCGCCATTACNCATATACCATACTAATGTTGAGGTTATCGTATAGTATGAGATCTAGCATTAGATATAAAATATAATATTTAATTAATCAAACAAAACATAAATAAAATAGAAAGAGTTGGTTTACGAGTATGTTGGTCTCCACAAAAGATTTTCTCCTATGATCTGTAGTCACAATCCTTTGACAGAGTAATCTCAGGCGACTATTTGATGTTGTGTTCAATTGTCTTGTTTAAGGACTTCCTTAAATGACGATAATCGACAGATTAAAAGCAAGTAATATGACAAAATAAGAGATTAACTAAAAGAAAGACACTTTTATTAATATTTGAAAGATTTATGGGTTACAACAAATTGATAAATCAGCCTCAAGCACTAAGTCTATCCTAAAACTAACAAAAAATTAGGGGCGGATCTATGTGTGGGCCAGGGGCACAAGCTAACCCTTAAAATTTTTTTCTTAATATTANCCTAAATCTCCACCTTCGCCGTCACCATCCCCATCACCATCACCTCTTGGTGTATCACAATCTCCACCATCTCCATCATCAATACCTCCTAACCCACCAAAATCTTCACCCTTGCCATCACCAGTTCCATCACAACCGCCTTCTAATCTACCCAAATCTCCACCCTCACCATCTCCATCTCCATCACCAACACCTCGTGGCACAACCCAACCTCCACCATTNGTTTCAATTAGATTCTAGTAGTATTATTACCCTTACTTCTTAATTTTTTATTTGATTGCTTTACGGTCATGGGTCTTTTGTGTGTTTGATCGCGTCTCTTTCTTGTAATTAATGTCTCTNCTAGCTCCTGGCCAACCAAAATCTCCACCCTCACCCTCACCATCTCAATCACCATTGCCTCCAGGAGTATCCCCATCTCCACGCTCACCATCTCCATCGCTGTTGCCTATTAACCCATTAAACACTTCACCCTCATCCTCACCTTCTCCATCACCATCATCTCCTAACCTACCCAAATCTCCACCATCGCCATCTCCAACACCGTTGCCTCCTAGCCTGCCGAAATATCCACCCTTGTTGCCGCCATCTTCGTCACCATTTCCTCTTGGCGTAACCCAATATCCACCATCTCCGTCTCCAACACCGTTACCTCCAAGAGTACCTNTGAAACCCCTTTGAATGTCAAGTGACATTTTCAACAACAGTGAATAATTGGCACGGTAAATAAGGGAGCAGTAATCATCGTGACCCTTCTTCTTTCGCAAATTTGAAATTAGAATAGAATTTGTACAGATTCTCCATTTAGTAACTNTTCCGACTTATCTAGATTTTCACCCTCCCCCTCACCCTCCCCATCCCCATCACCATTACCTTCTGGTGCATTGCAACCTCCACCATCACCATCTCCAACACCGTTGCCTCCTAGCCTTGNTCACCCTAGTGAAAATCAACAGTGATTTTTTCAAAGAAACGAGGAAGAGCAAAAGAAAAATCCCGGAGTTTTGGTGTCGTGTAATTGTTCGCCGTCATCAAAAATGTTTTTTACTAGACATTGAAATTCGCCTACGGGTTTCGTTTCTAAATTTTATCGGTTATTTGAAAAAACCAAAACCAAAACTAAAATTAGAAAACCCTAATTTGAGAGATGAAAAGTATAAAGTTGAATTCGTTTATATTGAATGAATATATCAAAAATTGAAATTTTTTAAAAACAAATTTTAAACAATTACAATAATTTTTTGTTATGTAACAGTGTGGAGCAACTATACTAAGATTTAAGAGATTTCATATTTATCTTTGGTAACTATTGGGGGTTACACTCGGAAAATGAAACACACAAAGGTAAGAGTTTTTTTTTTTTTTTTTCAGTTCAGTTTTGTTTGTTTGATAAAATCCCAATTCATGTTTTGTTAAAAGAAAATAATAAAATTTCAATTCTTATATGATGAATGCATGTGTAAAAATTAAAAATCTTTAAAGTTAATAGGTAAACAGTTACAGATTTTTTGTTAATTGTTATTATTTTATTTTTTTTGAATGAATCAATTGGAATAAATTTTATTGTCATTATTATAAATTTTAGTTTCAGTAATGGTATGTTTGTTGTAACTGTATTAGTATCTATAAGGGTTTGTTTGTTTAACGGGAGAATAGTAGAAAATAGAAGAAAGATAAAATTTTTAAAATTTTCATATGTTTGGTTAGCATTAAAAAGAAAATGGTAGCAAAAATAATTTTCTTTCATGTTTGAATTTTCTCACAAATAACTTTTTTTAATTGTAAAAAACATAAAGAAATACAAGAAAGTTGTGATCTATAACTAACTTTTTATTTATCCTTGATTTTTCTTAAAATATTTTATTAGTTATAAATTACAAAAAATATTGGTATGAATTTGATTAATCATATAATTTGGCTCAAAGACCTTTCTGTTGGTGATTGTTCTAGAATTAGGTTTTGACCCACTTTTTAAAAAAATTTTAACTTTCACTTATAATTACATATTTGTTTTCCTTTATAAACCGATTTCATATCATTAAAGGTAGTTTAGACAATTATAAAAAATTTCTTATACCTTTCCTTTCTTTCAAATACTAGAATGAAATTGTTTTTAGAATTTTCTCATAAATTTTTCATTCTAACCAAATACATGTATGAAAATATATTTTCTATCATTTTCTTTTCTTTCACTTCTCTTTCTATCATTTTCACTTTCCATTATTTTTTCTCTTCCTAATCAAACGGACCCTAAATTTCAGTTCTAAGACATTGCACTCTTTTAGAGGAGACATATCGAGTACCTATTTGTTGAGGTGTTATTAAATTTTAATTTTTATCGGCTCGCTTAAAAACATGGTTTATAGAAAAGAATTTTTCATTTTCAAGCTCAAACGTGGATAACTAAGGATATAATTTTTCAAAAGAAATGAACAAGGCTTCAAATAATGTCACAAATGGTCTGAGATCATTTTCTAGACTGCAACTCATACATAACTCTCACATGAATTTGTGAGGGGTATTGTCAACATATTACTCAATTAGTGCTAATCAAATCATAGATAATGAGACTATTCAAGGAATTCAAGCTAAATTGAAATTATTAGTTGAGTAAATGTTTAAAATCTCTCCAAGGAAGATGGGCTCAAAAACTACACAAGGTATCTACATCTTCACTATATATGTAAACTTCCAAAGAACCACATTATTTCAAAGGATTTTTGAAGAATAGTAGAACACAATGTGTGTAAAATGATAAGTTTCCAAGAAACAATATAGGAATAGCACACAAGAAAAGCATAAAATTCCCCTATGAGCTATTTAGGGTTACACCTACAAGTAGGTAGAGTAGCAAAACAATCTCAACATGATTTTCATGTAATATTTTATCCTAACATAAAATTGTAGATAAAATATATTTCAAGATAAACCACAATAATGTTAACAAAAACATTCCTACTTAATATCCAAAAGCACTCCAAACTAACAAAAATTTAAAAGTAACAGAAATTTGAAGTTAATCCAAATCAACAAGAAACTAAATAAACCAAATAACAAAATTACTGTACCATGCAAAAACTAAATTGTTTACATACATAGAAAGATAGACAATAGAAGGGTTTCAAAAGAACTAGGCCAAGCCTGTGCTGAAGGTAACGGTCCTTCAACTATCTTTCACAGGCAACTAAGAATGTTCTTCTAACTTGCTTGAATCTCTCTCTAAGTTGCTTCAAATTATCCCTTTCTTACCTCCAGACTCACTAGTATCTGTCTGTCAGTCCTCTCATCCAATGGTGGCTAGTCGTGTTGGTCATATTGTTGTGCTTCTTCCTCATTCTCTCCTACTCCTTGATGTGCTAGCTGAGCTTCTAGTGGTCCTCCTTGAATCTTTTTCAATGAAGTGGCATTCAAATGTGCCAATGTAACAAAACCTGTAAAACCCGAAAAAAATTGAATTTTATGATAAAGGGCAAAACTGTAATTAGCCGTTACGGTATGGGTTAAAAATCCAATTTTTTCTAGAACTTAGATGACGAAATTGACCTCACCTTTGGATTCTCCTACGAAATCTAGTTACTCAGTTACTTTTCGTTGAATTCCAAAACAGTCAAATTTTTTGTGATTTACAACACATTCAGTTGTTGCTTGACAAAAATAAATGCGATCGAGAATTAATTTAAAAACATAGAAAATAATTTAAAGTTAGTTCAAACTAAATATTTTGAACATAACATGAAACAATATTTAATTGATTTAGGATAAAACCGGATCAAGAAAAGAAGGGACGTGTGGCGCATTATGGGTCAAATATCCTATGGGTCTAAAAAGGAAGAAAAATCATATTTTTCTCCCATTTTGGCTGCTAATTTTCGATAGAGAAAGAGAGAGAAATTCAAGGGTTCTTCCTCCTTCTTTTTGTGATCTAGGGTCAACTGTTCATCAAAATGCTTCAAGTCAAGAACTAAAGTTGATCTACGCAACGAAAACCACGACTACGGACCAAAAATGGCAGGTTTCGTCGAGGTCTCAAAGAAGGGATTTTTGAAAATCGAAGTTTGAGGCTTGATTTTGGCTTTCTGGAGTTTCTACTACTTGTATTATGCTTCAAAAGGCAAGGTTCTTCTCTTAGTTATGTTTATTTTCAACCTAGGGTTGCGTATGGAATGGGTAGTTTGATTAGAGATGAATTCTCTTGTTTGATGTAATGCTAGTGTAACTATAGTATGAGAAATGGGTATAGAAATGTGTTAAACCAATCTTGTATGATTTGAGTTTGTGAAAATTGTTTGTTTGGTAATTTCATGAGAAATGTGATAAATTGGGCATGATTATGTGTTTATATGATTTTGTGTCTTTTTGGTGTTTGATAAAATGCCTATAATTGATTAAGTTTGTTATTTGAATGAAATTAATATAAAATTATTTGTGATTATGTTGGAATGTACTTATATATTTTATGATATAAGTTACATTGAAGATTTAGAATTGTTCATATTGTGTTTATTGCATGTTGAACATGATGTTGTAATTGCAATTAAAATTTTTGTTGCATAATGATATGAAATGCAAAAGTTTATTACATTTGCAAATGCACGGAAAATATCGCATTTGTGGTTATTTGACATGAGTGTGAGTGTGTGTGTATGTTTTTTGATCAAACACTATTCTTGATAGTTGAGATGTGGACTCAGAAAGGTTAGACCTATATCCGATTGAGTTGCACGGGTTGTATAAAAAACTTGTGTGAGGTATAGAAAGAACGGCTAGACTCTCCTTCGGGTGCAAGACCCAGTTACTGGTTTATACACTTTCAATGGTAAAAGTCCAAAAAAGTGTATTAGTGTGCGCAGAACCGAATGTGGGATACCAAAATTCGTTTCAGTGTGGTGGACCGTCAGTACAAGTCTAGGAAATCACCTACCCAAGAAAGACACGTAGTTCATTTTATAAAATAGTCATTAGATGTGTAACATCAATAGCGGGAACTTGGAATATCTAGGTACATATGCATGACATTGTANAGACACGTAGTTCATTTTATAAAATAGTCATTAGATGTGTAACATCAATAGCGGGAGCTTGGAATGTCTAGGTACATATGCATGACATTGCATGTGTTATGAGAGCCAATGAAGGCTCAAGTTGCATTGCATTGTGAGTCTCATCTTATAACATAACATGACATTATGAATTGTATATTCTTAGCTGGATGCTTGTTTAATTGTTGAATTGCATGTGAATATTTCATATGCATCTGGGTTGGGAGGTAACCTTTTTAGGAGATACCCTATTGAGCGTAGCTCACCCTTTATGAGAATAACATTTCGGTACAGAACAAGCGCCGGTGTGATGGTTCTCAGATGGGTCTGTGTTGAGAAGAAGCTGGAATATGGCTTTAAGTTATATTTTTGTAAATCAATTGTGTAATTGGTTTCAGATATGTAACGTTGTATAAAGGATTGTAAAATTAACTCATACGAATATATTTTTTGTAAAATTTGATGTTACATGAATTTGGGTGAATGTTGTATGAGATTGGATGAGTTGAAATTAAAAAAGAATTGAATTGAAAGAAAATTGGGCTCTACTACCAGTAGCACGTTGATTAGCTACCGGTAGCACGATTGCAGAGAGCAACTACTGGTATCTAGGTTCATAGCTACTAGTAACTCGCGAGCAGTGGACCCAACTACCG